TAATAAATTGGTATCCGTCCTGTAGGCATTTCGTGTCTCTGTTTGCCCCGCAACTCAATTCGTCAAGTACAAGGCCACCCTTACAAAATGGGCGTAGTCACGTCAACGTATTAAGTGACACCTAATTCGGCAAATAAATAATGTGAAATTAAAATTTCGGGGTAAAAGGTTTAGGGAGAATTTTTCAAATTTATCGAAGTAAATTTTACGAAGCGACATCCAGTTTCTGGGTAAAATTGCATAGTTTAAGCGAATAAATAAAGTCTTGAAATTAAAACATCTTAAATTTTCGGGTTAACAAAAAGCAAATTTCGGCAAGTTATTTTAATACGCTTAATTTTCTACAATTCGCTTAAAACTTGTAAAAAGTAAAAATGTGCATTTCCAGAGTAAAATTCCATCATTTTTGCAATTTTGCAAAAATGATGGAATTTTCCAATATTTTAGATCTTCAATTTTTTAGATTCCCAATCTTTTAGACCTTATAAATTTCTAATTTATGCTGTACGTACAAAATTTAGTAGAACTTGTATACCCCGATTTAATCCCCTTCATAATTCTCACCATAAAAATATTTCTTTGCTCGGTAAAATTTTATCCTTTCTGCAATTCCAATATTTTGGAGTTTTTTAGATAACGCAGACTTACCAAATTTCGTTTGAGTGAGTACCCCCCATTAAATCCGCTTCGAAATGTATGCCATTTCTAAAATTACGATCTGTACTTTCATGATGCATCCCATCCCTCAATTTTTCGAAATTTATATCATTTTAAAAGTTCCCATCACATATTTCCATGATGTCCTTTCCATCCCACAGTTTCTCTTCTCCTCATAAATACATACATAATTCTGAAAAACTTTCTCCTCCTTCAAAAACCCCTTCACTTTCTACAAAAACCATAAAAAACTCCCCCAAACACATACGCTGCAATTGCACAAGTTTTTTTTCTCTAAAAAAACTTTGTATCCCCAATTTGTCCCAGACAGCTATCTTAACGTGAATGAGTTGAGTACCCCGATTAAAATCCGCTTCAAAATTTCTAAAATTCCCATCAAATTTAAATATTTCCACGTCTTCTTCATCCCACAACTTAATACAAATTTCCAATTTATTCTCAATTAACAAAATTTTCTGAGTTGAGCATCCCACTAAATCGGATTCGAAATTTATGTCATTTCTAAAATTATGATCTATATTTCCATGATATATTTCCAACCATTTCTCCTCTCCTCATAAATACATACATAATTCTGAAAAAAACTTTCTCCTTCTTCAAAAAAACCCTTCACTTTCTACAAAAACCATAAAAAACTCCCCCGAACACACTCGCTGCAATTGCACAAGTTTTTTTTTCTCTCAAAAAAACAAACTTTTTATCCCCAATTTGTCCCAGACAGCTGGCTCTGGATCCAACTTTTTTTTTGGAATCGTCCCCCCGTGGCAGGCGGACAAACCTCTTGGCTGGACAGGACGAGGAAGGAGAAGAAGAAGAAGGGAAAAAAATCTCGCGAAAATGGTGAAACTCGATAACCCCTGGGGGAAAATGTGTGGTTCGAGAGACGACGAGAACCTCTCTCCGCCAACGTCGTCCTCAAACCCACGACTGGACTTTTCCTCTCTCGTGATGGGCAGGGTTGGGCTAAATATTTTGTGGAAAAATTTTGAAAATTTTGGGAAAAGATTTATAAAATTTTGAGGAGATAGTTCAAAAAATTTGTAAATATTTTTCAGAATTTTAGTAAATATTTTATTAACATTTGAAACAATTTTACTAGTTCATTTACAAAATTTTACAGGGTTTGGATTTTTACAACCACAGAAAGACGATAATCTACTTGGAGAAAGCAGTAGAAAATACTTTTGGTAAGAAATTTACTTTAAAATTTATAAACTCTGCAAATCAAACAGTTCTTAATAACTTTGTAAAATTTGTACGTTTTTGTACCATAATCTTTAGAAACTTTTACAAACTAAAAAAAATCTGAGCTAGTTATCAAAAGTTTGTATGCTAATTGGTCTGAGCGGGGTTAAAAATTTGTAACTTAATTTTCGTTCAAAATGTCAGTAAAATTTTGTAAAAGTTTATCAATGTACAGAATTTACGGATTTTACAAAGTTACCAAGACCTGCGTGAATTTGCTCGCTCTAATTTTACAGCGATAAAATGTTAATAACTTAAAAAGGACACGTACTTTTGAACAATTGATGCCCTATTCTCATCCTTTTTCAGCTGTAAGAACCCCAGAAATTTAAACCCTGGTTTCAAAATTTCCAAAAAAATCCTTTGCCCATCTCTGCCCCGGCCTAGTCATCATTCTCGCCGCAGCTTTTACTCCCTTCCGGCAAGCGTGGTGTAGTGGTCGTCTCCGCGGTTAACAAAATCAGAGAGCCTCCTCTCCCTCAATGAAATAAAGACTGGGTAATTACCCACACAATTTCAAAGGTTTGCAAAATCACACCCAAATTAACAATCGATTCCGTGAGGAATGGAAAAGCAGAAAATATTGAGATTCAGCCTCCTCCCAGAAAGGGTAAAATTACCCCTGAAACATCACTCCTATTTAATTATTTTGCACAAAATTTGCGCGCCAAAATATTGGAGTGAAAGTTATGCAATACGTGGAATGAATTTCGCAGAAAATTAGGATGCAAAATTACTTCGTGCCCTTGAAACATCACTCGTAAATATTTAGAGTAATTATTTTGCACAAAATTTGCACCCACGGAGGCCAAATTATTGGAGTAAGTTATATATGTATGTAATACATGGAATGGATTTCAAACATAATTAGCGTGCAAGGTTATCAAGGAAATTAATCATTTCATTCCTCTCAGACATCACTGGTAAATATTTAGAGCAATAATTTTGCACAAAATTTGCACGCCAAATTATTCAAGTGAAAGTTATGTAATACATGAAACGGATTTCGCACACAATCAGTATACAAACTTATCAAAGATGTTATCTCATACCCCGCAAATATCACTCGTGAATATGTAGAATAATTATTTTGCACACATTTTGCACACACGTAGGCCAACTTATTAGAGTGAAAGTTATGTAATACATCGCTACTAATTTGGCACACAACTATTAACATCCAAAGTTATCAAGGGAAATGTCTATTGGAGTGCAAATAATTAGGTATTTTTCATCCCCTCAATTTTAATGCCCCCACAGCTTCCGGCTGCGGAGTATTTATCATAAGCAAACCTGACGTCGAGGTTTGCTACATAACCCACATATGCATACACAAATCCGAGCGAAATTCATTCCTGTGAAGTCAAAATTAGCGAATTCAAGGTACATTCGTACCCCTGAAAGATAAATTTTTCACACAAAATTAACATGAAGGGAGGTGAATTAATGTGAAAATTAATGCTGCATATTTGTCATCGCCTCAATTTTAATGCCCCCACAATTTCCGCGGTGTATTTATCATGTTAACCCTCAGGAAACATGAGGTCGAGATTTGCTATGCCACATAAACGCATAAATTCGCCTTCTCTTCGGAGTGAAAGCAATGCGGATATCAAATTTCGCACAAAATTAGCATTCAACTTCATCCAGACATTCCTACTGTTCGTGCAAAATTAATATGCAGTAAAAAATCTGAAAGGTTATTTGGCAGATGATTTTTTTCCATGACTTGATTTTGTTTAAAAATGCGTTATTTTCCTATCTTCATTTAAAAAGTATAATAAAGATGCACAATTAAATCGTTTTCAATGGCAACCAAAAAATTCGGCCATTTGACCTCTTAAAAAATTTTGAGGGCTTTACTGCATATTAATTTTGAACGAACAGTAGGAGGCAAATAGAGCTTTCTAATTCACAGTAAATTCGTACATATTTTTCACACATCACAAAATTAGCATGATTAGGGGGGTCAAAGTTCAAAAGGTGAAGGAGTAAAAGTTAGCAAATTTAATATGCCGTAGATTTGCTACTGAATTAACCCCTCAATTTTAATGTCCCCACCACTTCCGCGGTGTATTTATCATGTTAAACCTCCCTGTACGAGGTCGAGATTTTGCTTTCACATAACTTTCCCTTCCTCCCACTTTCACCAAAGTGAACAGAAGTGAAAGCCTGGAGTGAAAGTGGGTTGGGATTTTCGAGGCGAAAATAAATATTTGAGTGACACGGAGAGAGCATTTGGATGAGTGGAGAGTAATTTAAATATCCGATTGACAGATTCCTTACATTGCACTTCTCTTTTTTCCTAGGAATCATCATCACCCCAGTTAAAGTGCAGTTATCGGAAAACTTTTCTAGTAAGAGAGCCATTTTTTCCGATTTTTTTTTGTACTTTTGGAGATATTTTTGTGGCGTGAATTTATGCATAAATTTCATTTTTTGTCACCATTTAAAGTGCAGTTATATCTGCAGAAAAAACGTTTCTTGTTCGACAAGCATTTTTGTAAATTTTTGAATTTTGGAGATAAATTTGAGGCGTGAATTTATCCATACATTTCAAATTTTTATTTTTTTCCCCATTAAAAGTGCAGTCATTTTCAGAAAACTTTTTTTAGCTCGAGAGACCTTTCCTTGAAATTTGTTTATTTGTGTATTTTTAATAAATTTTGGGTTTTGAAAAGTATATTTAAAACTTTGTAAATTACACTTTTTAATATTTTAAATTTTGCTTAAAATCACACTTGAAACACAATTTTAACCAAGAATTGACTAAATCAATCTTCAAGTAGTAATTTTCAGCCATACATTTCTGTGGAAATTTAAAATAAATAAAAAGTGAAACAATTTTAAACAATTCTAATTATTTTAATCTCCAATTTGTCCAAATTTGACTAAAAAATTAAAAGAAACGTGCATCGTCCACGTGCGATAAATCCAGTGTAATAAAAAAATATATCAACATCCTAACCGCGTGTGCAGCCCAATTTTGTGTGTAAAAAACCTGGATTAACATTGTTCCTAAATCCTCTTCCGATCCGACACGCAATTTTTCGGGGTAAAAAGTTACAAACTCTTACCTTCTATAAAGTTCCTGATCTTCTATTCTTCCTAGATTTTCTACGCCCACCAAAAAAAACTGTCAAGAAGCTACCCAAATTGTTCTGCCGTATTTCCGCTGATTTTTCGGGGGTAAAAAGTTGTGCTTCTTTCACTTTCACAACATGTTAGTCACAAAATCTCCAAAATTTGGGACTCTTTTATTCCCGTTTTTTCGAAATTTTCGACAATTTCTCCTCACGTGATTTACTTTCACTTTCCCCTTCACGGAATGTTAGACACACAAAATCGCGAAAATTTCGCCCTTCTTTATTGTCTTTTTTTCGCAATTTTCTCCTCCTCAAACTTTGCTGGATGATCGGATCGCGTCCGTCCGTCCGTCCTAAACTGTTTCACACTTCTTTTCACATTTATTATTTGCACCAGCAGTAGGAAACTCCTGCATCCTCGATGGCGATGCTATGTGCCCACTTGTGTCACGTGTACACACAAATACATACACGACCACTTGACGAAAGGGCGACGAGGAGTGTGCAGAATTACAAAACTTTGTTTTATCAAGAAACACAGGAGACACACGTCGTTCAGGTTTTTTTCGGGAAAATCCGACTTCTTTGTTCTCCATTAACTTCACTTGTGAAATGTTTTGAGAGAGAGAGAGATGAGAATGACACGGTCTTTATTTTGAGTGGGGCAGATAATCCACAAATAGTTGAAAACAGGCTGAAAATCGAGAAGAAAAATATGTCGCGATTATTATTATCATCGTTTTCATTGGTGTTATTATTACATTGTTGTGACGCACGGAAACCGACCCGATAAACACAATGAGACACGTGACACCACGTGTTTTTTATCTTTCCGAAAGAATTTTTTTGATAAAAATCAACCCAAAACTTTGGATTATTTCAAAAAGAAAGTAACTCGGGGAAGGTTCATCGTCCAAAAAAGTTTAAAGTTGTATTGGGACAAGGATTTGGGTGTCTTTCACCTTGAATAAGTTTTGCACGGGAACGAATTAGTTTTTGTCAATTTTTGATGGATTTTTAGCCAAAAAAATTTGAGGGTGATATTTCCCTAATCGATAACGGCTTAAGGTGCTATATAATGCAGCATAAATGTTTAATCTTACTCTTCAAAGTGTTTAAATGGCAACGATTTCATGAGTTTTGAGACAAATGCTACCCTTGTGTCAAAAAAAACTCGTGGAATTGCTGCCATTTTAATAATTTGCATTTAACGCGTTGAATTTAGGTGGAGCGGGATTAAAAATCCACATCCAATAGCACCTTAACGCTTAAACCAACTTCATCCCGTCATATTATGCTCATCGGGAAGAAACTATTCACATCTCGATTCCACATCCCGTCCTCGTCGCAGATGACGCGAGAACTATCCCAATTTGGACTTTAAGCGGACAACTTTTCACGACATATTTATCCCAAGAAGAGAGAAAAAATAGCGCAAATATTTGACTTTTCAACTACTCACTACTTACTACAATGGGTAAAATAATGTGCCAGTGGCCGCGGAAGTTGGGGGGGACATGTGGGGACATTATCATTATGGGATAGGCAAAGGACGGACTTATTAACATGGACAAGATACAATTTTTTCCAATCTCTTGGGGAATTTTTTGTCCCCATGTCCTTCCGCCGCCACTGAAGGCGCACGAGGGGCAAACTAATGTGCCAGTGGCCGCGGAAGTTGGAGGGGACATTGGGGGAAATTATCATTATAGGATATACGAACAACGGACTTATTAACAAGGGCAAGCAACAATTTTTTTTTAATTTGTGGAAAAACTTTGTGCCCCCCTGTCCCCCTGCTTCCTTCCGCCGCCAATGAATATGCACGAGGGAAACGTGCCCATTTTTTCGTCCCGTATGAAAATTCACCTCACTTCACTGGGCTTAATGGCTCGACACATTTTCAAAGTCATTTATGCAAACGATTCATTCCACATAAACAAACTTTGCAGCAAAAAAAGGTCTGCTACTCACATACGCTTTCGTCCTCGACATTACGCTTTTTTTCATGGGACAAATTTAGAGTTGTCGGACGGGCAAGACAATTTTGGACATAATAAATATTAGTATTTATAGGGCATCAAAATTCGCATCAAAATTCGCATCAAAATTCGCATCAAAATTCGCAAATTATTCCGCAATATCAATTTACCCTTGGAAATTGTACGTATGAAATTTGGCAAAACTCTGGCTGGAAAAAAAGTATGCCATTTTTCCTCCAAAGTTTTGTTGCCCAGTAAAAACTGTAAGTTTGGACATGATATTAATATTTATTGGGTAAATTATATTTGCAAATTTTTCATATCAATACTTATAGCGTGCAAAATGTTATGAAATTTGTAAAATTTAACAATTCCCATTGACATTTTGGATATTCCAAAGGGAATTTATCAGGTATACTCACGTCAACCGCTTCAAATACACCACAAATTTCACGAATTTTGCGAATAAATTGCGAAATTCTGAATAACTCTTGCTGCAAAAACTATGCATTTTTTTAGCCAAAAACTGTACCCAGGAAATCGACATGACAGAAATTCTCAAACCCATCTAAATATGCACGACAAACTGAGTAATAAATCTCTCAAATTCAAGATATTAACATAACACGCAACAATTTGTAAAATTTTAGAATTGCACAAAATTGCACAAAATTCGCGAATTCTCAAACCTCAAACAAATTTAAATGTTTCGTTGCCTTGTCCTTGTACATTCTAAAAAGTACAACTCTTGACAAACTTATTCTCTCTGCGACCTCTTGGAAAAAAATATTATGATGTCAATCCCACATCGAGTTACGTACGTATACAAAAAAGTTTTTTTTCGCCGGTTTTGATGACGCAGTTTCAGCAAATTCGTTGAGGGTTTCGTTCAACAATTTTTTTGGAGGGGAAAACTACTTGGAATTTTTCCATAAACTTTTGCACATCACTTTTCAAAATTGCAACATATTTTTCTACCGTTTTTCAGAATCTTATATTTCAAAAATATTATTCATAAAGTAATAAAATATTTTTTTATTGTGAGGATAGCTACTTTAAATTTATGCAGAATTTGTTCAACAAATTTTCGCACTAAAATTTCAACTTATTTTTCTACCGTTTTCCAAAATCCAATGTTTTAAAAATATTATTCATAAAATAATGAAATATTATTTTTTTAATGTTGTAAATATTTTTACCATTTTAAAACAGCATATTTTTACTTAAAAAATTACACTAGATAAAATAAAATGTTCTCAGAAATTCGTAGATCATTTTGATACTACTTTTATACTCTGTAAATATTTATTTAGCATATTTTTAAAAATAGATGTTTAAATTTTGTAAATATTTCGACGATTTTTAAATTCAACAAATTTGTATTTAGAAAATTGAACTAAAAAAATCAAAAGTACTGTAAGTCAGCAAAAATTTTAGAAATATTTCTTTTTCTTTTTCATAAATATTTTTTCCTCTTTTTTATGAATTATACTTAATTTTGCCACAATTTTTATAAAATTGTCCTAATCTTTTAATCTCTCAAAAATCTTTAAAAAATCCCTTCCAACTCAGGAAACGATTTTTGTATACGATTTTACACAAAAAAATTATTAAGAAATTTGGACTACACGAAATCTAAATGAACAAATTTGAAATGTTAATTAACCAAAAAATTTATATATTTTTCTCGTTTTCCCATAAATCCCAATTTATCACAGTTTCTCCCATTCTTACCTCCCCCAAAGCCATCCCAAACCTTGGAAACCCTTTCCAAGAAATTTCCCTCTGGAGAGACTTTTTAAATTTCTGAGCAAATAAATCTCTCCGTTGTGTATACTTCTCGTCGTCATCATTACCATTGATAACCATCATTACGGACAAAAATCTTCTTTCCCTCCGCAAAACAACAAAGGTCGCTAAGGCTGAACAAAATCAATTCCAGCTCAAAGCCAGTTTTTTCGCGTCCCGTAACACACATAAATTACAGGGCTGGCTAAAATACTTTGTTAAAATGTAGTATTTTGAAGTCCGGCTTTGAATTTTCCGGGCTTCGAAAAAATACGGTAATTTTTACAAGAGTTTTACGAAAATACACGTTTTGTGAAGAAATTTGCTCTTTATCTCCGTCAAAATAAATTGAGGAAATTCACGCAGGGCTTGATAACTTTGTAAAATCCATAAATTCCTTAAACTTACAAAATTTTACAGAATTTTACTCATATTTCGAAGGGAAATTAGGGTACAAATTTGTGTAAACCTGCTCCGACCTCTTTCTTTTGTAAAACTTTGTAAAATTATGGTACAACGTGCACAGATTTTACAAAATTACTGCGTAAATCGCCACACTGTATTTTTTAAAACAAAGTATTTTGACAGCGATAAAAAGCTAATTTTTCACAAATCATGTATTTTCGCTGCCTTTTCGACGTAAATTCCGGCCTTTTTATGGTTCTTGCAGCCCCGGAAATCCAAACCCTTTATTAAAAATTCCATCCATTATTCCCCAAATATTTTGCCCAGCCCTGAAAAATTAGTCCCTCCACTGCCTTCCCCACGTAAATTCCCGTCTTTTTTCGGCCCTCACAGCCCCGGAAATCGAACCTATTTCCCCAAAATTCTCCCCATAATTCCCCCCGTATTTTGCCCATCCCTGAAAAATTAGTCCCTCGTTGCTCTGATGGCCCCGTCCCAAGTTTTTTGATTGGTAAACAGCAGCATTGGATGGCATGATTGATTTACTTGCACGGCTGGATCGTGAATAAAATGCGGAAAACTGTGCCGAAAATTTCCCTGGTGAAGGGTTTACTGTTGTCATAAAGTAAATAGACTGCTGGATCGGCGGAGCTGAACTTTGCCCCGACTCGTCCGCACAAGCATCCATTTCAAATTGGAAGCTTTAGTAATAACCGTTCCGGCCTGAATTAAGTGCCTGGTTGACAGTGAAGGAGGGAAAAAAAAGTTTACTCTGTGGTGGTAATAGTGAGTTTTTTTCCTGGGTGCAGTGCATGGTCAGGCCGGCACGGTGAGAAAAATCGAGAAAGTTTGGCTAAAATAACCGTTTAAAATCTCGAAAAATCAGACAAAAAACCTACTCCAAGCAACTTTGCGGGGCCTTTTAAGATGGCATTATACCATCTTGGTAGTTAATGGCAACACATTTGGGTGGAAAAGACCCCCACTGGCCAACTACTTGGCCGATCATGCCCATCTCCGAACTCATCCTTACTTTTGACCCGAAGATGAAGTGTGCAAAATTTCAAGTCGATAGCTTGTGTTTAAAGAGAGTTATCGTGCGCACAGACGGACGGACAGACAAACATCTTGGTAAATCTATAAGGCCATCTTAAAAGGCCTAAAAATCTGTATTTCAACAACAAAAAATTGCCGATGAGGAATTTCAGTTCAAAATTTCTGATAATAAAATTGGCAAAAATTTGACACCTGTAAAAAAATTATGATCTTAAATTTAGTATAGTACCTCAAAAAATCAAGTAAAAAAAATTACCTCCTATTAACAACCTACACAGAATTTAGAGCTCAAAATTTTATTTTTAATCAAATAAAATAAAATAAAAATTGGACAAAATTCAATACTCACAAAACTTAGTAAAGAAGTTAAAAACCTGTATCATAATTATTTTCTAACACTTTTTGCTACACTGTACAGAAAATTAGTAGCCAAAGTTCAATTTCTCGGCCAATTTTGCAGTCT